GTGTGTGTGTGTGTGTGTGTGTGTGTGTGTGTGTGTGTGTGTGTGTGTGTGTGTGTGTGTGTGTGTGTGTGTGTGTGTGTGTGTCGCTGCCCTAGTCAACCCCAGGGGAACACAGGCTTTGTTTGCGCCAGGGACTTGGGAAAAGGGAGAGAGACACAGAGTGAGAATGATAGAAACAGAGAGGGAGAGAGTGTTATCCTGGTCACCCTCATTAACCGTGAGATCATTCCAACTTCCTGTGTGTGTGTTTGTACGTGTGTGTGTATGATATCGGTGTGTTACATTTCTGGATTCATATCAAATCTGCACCCGTGTGTGTTCTAAGCGTGTGCGTGCGTGTGATAGGTCTGCTGAGTCACAGTCTCTCCCCTCGGCAGTCGCTGCTCTTACAGAACAGATCATTATACAGGAAAATACAAAATCCCACTGCTGTCCTCCCTGCATCCATCTGCACACCCTTCATCCCTCCGTCCCTTCTCGGCTCCACTCTTTGATTTATTCATGTCATTTTTAAAATTATCATCTGTTTCCCAGGAGACTTTCCTTCAATTTAAAATAAGCTTTATGAATTCATTTTGCATGGTTTAACTTGAGCTCTTCTTTGGATTAAAAAAAATAAAAACAGCACTACGATCCAAAATGTTCTTACCAGTTCAGATTAACTAAGCAATCACCAGGTGGCGTTTGGTTGTATGGAGGGGGAAAAAGTGCAAAAATAAAATAGAAATATTAAAATAAATCGAAACATAAATTGTAATTTTATAAATATTTGCTTCAATTTACTTCTGCATTCTGCATCAGCTATGATTTTGTCATAATTACAAAATATTCAAAGTACGTTTGGTAATAGTCGGGAAACCTACACGGGAGGTAGTCATAGGGCATTTTCACAACTGAAAAACAATTTTGTTAAAACACTGAAACCAAATCAATTTTACACCCACTCCAAGTGTCTCAGCTCAAAGAATAAACAATCAGTTCAGCATAATTTTAATAAACTGCATGAAGATGATGTCAGTGATGAAGGGGAACAGAGACGTTCGTAAATGGTCTGGTTCTTATAGAGTGCTTTTCTACACTCCTGAAGTACTCAAAGTGCTCTATACAACACGCCGCATTCACGCCATACACACCCATTCACAGAAGCACTATTATCTATATGGTGAGTGCTTTCTAAATATCATTCATACGCATTCATACTCCAATGGATGCATCAGAGAGTAAGACGGATATTTCATGTCCAAGGATATTTGGCATGAAAACTGGGATCAAACCACCAACCCTCCTGAACTACAGCCACCCCACCTCGTACCTGAGGAGTTTCTGATGGTTCACTGCAGAAAGTTTGGCTCAACTTTAGTTGGCTGCTTAAAACAAGTTATACCATATGGAAAGTTTTTACTTAATACGAGGTTCATTTTTCAGCCATGACTCTTTTTGTGTGAAAATCATTTTCTAATCTGATCACATGTTAACTGTAAATGTAGCTCAAAGCTGTGAAATGGAGAAACAATAACAGCGTTCACGTTTGATATATCAGTTTGGAGATTTCCCAACATTCAGACAACTTTAGGTCCTGAAGAAGGTTTTCATGAACCTTGAAGAGGCTGGATAATTTTATCTGATGCCATAATCGGAAATGGTGATGAAGAAGTGCAAAGAGAGCATCTATTGATCCTCGCTCAGCTCATGTAAATGTCTCTATAAGGGCTGTTTTACAAAGAACAGTTTGGGAGTGCGACTCCTCTCACTGCTGCCATAATGCCGTCGGTCATCACACTGACACCAGAGGACACCTTGTAAACATTTAGGAGTACTCCAGCCCTGTGACTTTTCACAGTCAGCATTTTCGAGGCTCCGTCACTGAACGAGACGCTTTTTTACTTTAAATAAAAGGCTGCAAATCCGCCAGTGCTTTCTTTCATAACGTGCCTTCACTGTTTGTTTTACTGATCTTCTGATTAATTAGTTCATGTGTTCAGGACTGTTTGCCATCAAGCTTTGTGCCACACAGCACAAGTATTTCTGTTATCGTTGTTGTTATCGACCAATATAACTACAGGTAATGCAGTCTGAGCCTCTGCTCCACAAGTATTTATATAGAAAGAGCTTCAGATTGTAACACAACAGATACATTTATCAGTCCAAAATTCCTTTTAGACCAGTCTTTGTTCCTATTAATAATCACATTTATCCATTGATTGGTATTCTTTTCACCTTGCCTCCATCCTGCTGTATCCGAATCATCTCTTGACTTAAATCACTTCTGTTCTGGTTTTAATCGAGCAAAATGTTAGATCAGAGTCAAAGTCGGCAACAATCCCAGCAGATCAGCTGATCTTAAAGATAATTTGAGCAAATTTTAAGCCAAATCTCGTCTTTTAGGCTTGCTATGTATTAATTTGTCATCTGTTTCAGTCATCATTACACCTGGAAAATCATACACAGGGCCCAGTATTTTTGCACCTTTAGTCTGTTCCACAATCAGCTTTGTAACTTATCCTTTTCCCAGCTTCTCAGTTGTTCCGTTTCCAGCTTAACCAGTGTAACTTTGTTTATGCAGAAGGAAACCTCCTGACCACATTTTGTTTCCTGTGCAGAACTGGAGGAATCCCATAAGAAGTGTCACCCCTGCTGGTACACGTTTGCCCACCATTACCTGGTTTGGGAGTGCTGCCCTATGTGGCTTAAGGTGAAGCAGCTGGTGAAGATCATGGTGATGGACCCCTTCCTGGACCTCGCCATCACCGTCTGCATCGTCCTCAACACGCTCTTCATGGCCATGGAGCACTACCCTATGACTGATGAGTTCAATGGCATGCTCACCATCGGGAACCTGGTAGGAACAATGGATGAATGAATGCGTGGATGCTTGGTGGGAAAGCAGTAAAGCATGGTTATTGGTGGAGATATGTGGGTGAGAGACACATAGACACAGGTGCACTGTTCACCCAAAACAATCACAGGAATACAGAAGCAAACAAGATCAGATATTTGCAGAATAATCAGCTCAAAAACTGCTGCTTAACAAAGGCTCACAAACTGAACCTAAATAACAGATGGGGAAACCCCATAAAGGTAAAGGGGGAAACCACAGGGGCCATAAAGAAGCCCCATTTCCCCCTGTGCTTATAGCAGATGGTTTATTTTGCCCTTGAGGCCTGTTTATTTATAGCAAGCCCCACCCTCTGCCTCCTCTTTTAATAAACCAGGAATGACTGGAGCAGCAGACAGGTAACTCAAAAGAGAGAAAAAGTAATTAAGGCAGCTCATGAAAGATGAAACATCGTGAACCAATTGCTTGAGCAACATTAAATGATTATTTGCAGCCCTGTCATGTTTAAATGTGTTTGTCTGAGCTCAATTAAACTGGATCTGAAGCCCACACTGTTGTCTAAACCTCCATTTAGCAGCTATTCATTTAAACGTTTCCTTAATGTTTAACTAATAGTTTTAACAGGTTATCCACACTTTAACCTTCAAGAACCTACTAGGAGTAACCCCTGAAGCTCTTTTGTGAACTGAGCGCTTTCTATTATATTTCAGGCCTGGTTATAGGACAAATACTAGGCACGATGTGCCGGGAAAGCAGTGTTCCTCCCAGCTGTAGTAGGTCTCGACCTCCCGTTAGCTTCGAGCTAACGGGAGGTCGAAGGAGGAAGAATGCGGCTAAAACTTTTGCGAGATCTCGCAAAAGTCCGTCTTAATTTTTTTTTTCTCCCATGTCCCCTGCGGGGCTCCGTAACAAATAGTATGGATTTAAATTTGAATTACAAAGTTCCTCACCTTTATTCTTAATGACGAGTTCTGATACCATAGTATATATCCATAAAGACGACCAATAGAATAATTTCCAGGTTTTTCAAATAATACCTCCATAGACAGACCATCCTCATGAACACACTCCCGGCTAAAACTTTTGCGAGATCCCGAGTTAGTTTTGCGAGATCTCACAAAACTTTTGCGAGATCCCGAGTTAGTTTTGCGAGATCTCGCAAAAGTCCATCTTAATTTTTTTTCCTCCCATGTCCCCTGCGGGGCTCCGTAATTTGTTAATAATTTAACTGCTAGAAATACTTTGGGTTCTGTCATTTTAGTTCATTTTAGCTTTTACATCTTTCAACTCTTTGTACTGTTTAGCTCAACGTGTTTATCTGCAGTGTTAGCTTCAAGTTTCAGCTGTTAATCATAGTTTAGCTATCTATTTGACTGCTGCTGTGTCTTTACCAACTGGCTGGTGAGTGGTTACCATGGTTGCGTGTAGATTGCATGAAAGACACCGACTTGTCTGTAAACATTCCCCATTTATTCTCTGAGCTGTCATAAAATGTGCGATACAGTACAAACCGGAAACGAAAAATGTTTACCTTAAGAATAAAAGTTGTGCCTTATCGCTTCAACCAACACATTTCAAAAGATGCAGCTTTTACTTTGAAGGCGAATGTTGTTTCTGATTTCATCACACTTTTCACAGTTTCACTATCTTTTGTGTAGCAGACAGGTGCAGACAAATTGATGCCCTCCATGCAAACTACTGGTGTCTCTAGCAACCTGATAGCAACCAAAGCAACTGCAAGGATATTTCCAGTGGATCAGCATGCCAGTTTCAAGCTAGCAGCTGCCAGTAACCAGTTGCCAACTAGTCCCGGAATACACACTTATTCCTAGCAAGTAAATAGCTAGCAAGTTTCTTAGCCAACAGTTACCAGAGGGTCACTGACAAGTATTTTAAGGCTGCATGCCTTCAGATTAGCAGTTTCATGTATTTTCCTGCAACTACTCACAGTTGGTGAGGAAAAACCCAGTGGGTGCTGAACGGTCGCTGGCAGGTCTCTCCTGTGTGTCTGAGGCCTTAAGTTAGCTGAGTGCGTCTTGTCATGTACTCCCTACCTATCCATTGTTGTCTTTCATAAACTAATAGCATGGTGTATGTAAAGAAACCTGATAATGTCACATCCAATATCCTGTTTCATGCTGGGAAAAATGTCAGGACTTTTACCTGCCACATTTTCAGAGATATGTACTTTATCTCTTTGTATTGTAACACAAGGTTATCTCTAAATCGCTGAAATGAGAGATTCAGTCAGTTTCGTGAATCTCACATCATGCAAACTTGTCTTGGAAGAGCAGAGTGAAGGAAGCTCCTCACTGGTTGTTTACAAGCAGGTGTGGAAACAAACTTCGGGCGGGTTGAAGAGACTGTGACATTTTCCAAAAGTGACAAAGAGCGTGACGGTTTGGGAAACCCCCGTCGGACATTTGAAACCACAGCAAATCTTTTTGGACAATTTCAAATCCTCAGGATTCAGAGAGGAAAAATAGAAACTAATTTCATTGCCTTTCTAGAAAAGTCTGTGTTTTTTTCCTTTTGTAAAAAAAAAAAAGGCAAGGTGGGTTTCAGTATTAGAGCTGACAGATGCGGGTCAGATAGCTTTAAACCACTGTGACTAACTCCAGTGTTTGAGCCCGCAGGTGTCCCGACTATCTGACAGGAGCTGATAGGTTGATGCAATATGGTAATTGGTTCACCTGAGGTGTGAAAGGCCCTCAGCCAGAGTCAGCGTGCTAATCACACCTGTACACACACACACACACACACACACACACACACACACACACACACACACACACACACACACACACACACACACACTTGTTTCCGTCCAGTGATGTCAGGTCTCCTCAGCTCAGGCTGCAGGCAGAAAATGGTAATACAGTTTATAAGTAGAAACAGTGATTTTGGCCTGCCGGCAGTAGTGGTTCAGTCAGTGGGGCCAGGCTCAAAGGTGGGCCTCTGTGGGAGAGTCACATGGATTATGAGAGATGCTTTTAGTAATGCTATGATGCCCCAGCATTCATTTTCCTCTGTAAACAACCAATCACTTCAAAGAGTAAGTAAACAAAATGATCTTCAGTTTCAACTGAGGCGAATCAGCAGAGAAATACGGCACTGCTTTATTGCTTCTTCTGATTGGTTGCGCAGCCACCAATGCTCACGCTGTCTTTTCACTGTGTTCAAACTACAGAAGTGAAACTCATAAGCTGCTCTAACTCTAAATTTTAGATTAACCAGACACAGTATAAGGATTGCAAATGTCGCTGAATCCTAAATAGAAATCTATGGCACAGTTCTGAAATGCCAAAGATGGAAGCTGTCCTGTCACAACCTCCAGAGGCCCAATCAATAGCTGCATGAGTTGATTGTGTTTGCTCAGAACAGGCTCGCAGCAGCTTTAACTGTGTGCTGACAGACATATTTGTTACTGTAACAAAGGCGTACTTAATTGTCTGTATTCATTTTCTTGGCTCACTATAACCATACAGTGAGACAGAATGGGGAGAAGCCGGTCCAAAGCCAGGAGATGTTATTAATCTCTACCCATTAATAGAGCAGCTTTACTAATCTGAAGAAGTTGTATAATTTATGGGACAAAAAAAGCTTTTAAAATTTAAAGTCACCAAAACTTTGAATGGATCTTCTGATGATTTATCTGGTGAGTGTATTTGGACTGCAGAAAATATGGCAAAATAACAATGAAATGACCCTTTAAGGCAGCGATCTCCAACCTTTTTTGCGCCACGGACGGGTTTATGCCCGACAATATTTTCACGGACCGGCCTTTAAGGTGTCACGGATAAATACAACAAAAATAAAACTAGTACCGGTACCGAAAAAATAAGATTTATTCATAACACACGTGAAAAGACCCAGGAAAACCAAGTTAATGAAAAAAACGATAACAAAATAACGCTGAAAACCGATAAAAATCCTGAAAACCAGACATTTCACACCTGAGCCTCAACTCTTGCGGCCCAGTACCGGTCCGAGGCCCGGGGGTTGGGGACCGCTGCTTTAAGGCATCTTTTGCCCTGGTTTTTGCTGGAAGAGTCGCTCTCTGTTACTCTTGAAGAGTCTTACTCTTATGTGCTAAGTGTATAGGTGTGAGAGTGGATGGTATTTGATAGCACGCCTCTCTCTGTAGGATTGAGCAGACAGAGCTGATGGATCGATAGTTTTGAAACAAAGTGATTGATTCGATTTATATAATGATGTTGTGTACGTTAAGCTGGTCAGCTGTGTATGCCCACATGTTCAGACAGCTTCAAAACCCCCAAGGAACGTCAAGGAGTCAAAAGCATGAGCTGTTGTATAATATCCCTCTAATGTTGCTGTCATCTTGCCTCCAGTTTAATGCAGCTATATACTTTTGCAACGTAAACAGTTTGAAGCGCTCCTCCATTTCAATTCAGAGGCGCTGAAGTCTCAGATAAACGCCGCGTCGTGTCAACGGGATCCGATTGCACTGTGGAGTCGCTAAGTTCTTTATAGGCTAAAACCTCTAATCCTCACAGATGTTTACATAGCATTTAACTAGCCTTTCTGACGGACAGGAGAGCCTCTGCTGTGTGTCTCTTTGTGTGCGTGTGTGTGTGTGTGTGTCTCTTTGTGTGTGTGTGTGTTATGTAAGGATCATTTCAGGTCATTTCTGTGCTGACACAATCAATGTCAGTTTTCACTTTTAGTAGCTGTTTCTCGTGTGCTCTTCAGCGTCACTTATCAATATTTCCATGTGTGCAAAGATCTATAGAATACATACATTCACTGAAGGCTTTTATCCACAGAGCAGCACTCTGCATCAAGGGCACAACTCATCCTCGTTATACTTAACCTTTAATGTCTGTATGGACTTAATTTTAGATTAAGTCTGGATTTTTATTTTAATAAATCTGAAAACATTTATCTGATTTTAAGGTTTTGAGTGTATCCTGAATCACAACCTATGACAGTATGACAGCTAGGATACGCTCCAACGAGAAAGAAGATGGACGGATTGAGTT